GCTAAAAAAAGGGTAATTTTTGGGTGGGATGAGTTGGAAATTGCCATGTCATTTAATTTTGCCAACATGTCAATTTTTGCATGAAAATGTTTAAACACGTAATGCTTCGTCTGTCAATTAACATGAAAAAATTAATGGAAAGACCAAATCGAGTCAAAATAGTAAATAGTAGGGACCAAATTAGAAATTTTTTTAGTTGAAGGACTAAATGTAAAACCAAAATGGAGTTTAACAAAAAAAACTCTTTTTTATCCAAAAAAAAAAAACTAATGCATCAAGATCATGCTAAAATATAATTTTTTGTTTATAGCTGCTAAAATCTAATGTTGCTATGCATCTACCCCTTTGAGTCAAGTAGCTTTTGGTCATTTTCAAGTGCACCTCCTTTTTTTTGGACGAGTTTTAACTTGCCCCGTGACAATATTATTCAAATATATATATATATATAATATTGTTATTAATAAAAGAAAACAATAAATATGTAATATTTTTTTATATAATAGTTTGAACAATATGATGAAATATTTTAATAATATTTATTTATTTAATATTACTTTATACACCTTACAAAAATTATACATAAAAGTATTAGACGCTAATCATTGGTGATAAACAAATTGTTCTTATTCAAAGTTAGTGTCATTCGATAACAAAAAAAAAAAAAATTGATGTCGTGAATTTAATTTTTAGGATGTAATTCCTTTTTATGATAAAAAAATGATTTTTGTTTAAATTGAGAAAATGCATAAAAGGGTTAAAAAAAAAGGGTAAATAAATCAACAGAAGAAGAAGCATAACACTCACGTCCTTTGGACAAATGAAGCGCGTGGGTTCAGTTAATTCCGTTGGCTTCTTCAGGCAAGACCTCTCTGGTTTTGCTGTTTTTTCTCTAAAAAATTTCTGGTTCTCAGAGAAAAGAAAACAAACAAACAAAAAGGGAAATAAAATAAAAAAACTCATTTTCATTTTGTTTAACTTGTCACCATCGTCGCCACACTTAAAGTCTTTCTTCTTTATCTTTTAATCTTGGGCTTTTGCATATTGCTTCTTCCAGGTTTTGTTTTTTAGATTCCCATTTAATTGTTTCACACATGTGCCTTTTTCTGTTTTCGAACCTCCGCTTGTTCACCATTCCCCTCAATGTTTCTTTCTTCCTCCTTCTTCAAAAGGAGGGTCCATTGAAAACAGTTTACAATTTTTCCTGATTTTGAAACTTTGTTTGAAGTCCTCTGAGAACCCATAATTCATCAAAATCTGCTCCTGAATTGTATGGGTGCTTTGGTTGTTGGTGGAGGAGGACAAAGAGAGCTCCTTCATTCAAAACCAGGTAAATGACAGTGCTTTTCTTTCAGTTTTAATGGGGGAAACCCCAAAAAACAGAAAAAAAAGAAGGATTGTTTTTTGTTTTTTTGTTAATTGTGGTTGGTGGGGGTTGTTCATTCTAAGATAGATGATTGTTGCTATCCACAGATGCAAGATACTTCAGAACCACAAATGGGAGGCAGGGATGACGGTCCAGAATTCTGACATCATCAAGATCAAGAACAATTTAGAATGTTGTTTGGAAGTTGCTTCAGATAAATTATGATCCTTGTGGATGAAACATGCAATTCTTGATCTGGTTTTTTGCTGGGAAGAGGAAGAAGAGAAGATTGTTGGTTTTTTATTAGAATTAGCCAAGTAGAATCTTTTTCTATTATAATAAATCCAATGGAGTCACCAATAGATCAGGCTCGGCTGCCAATTGTTCCTTCTCACAGGAAGAAGATGGCCAAACAACTAACAGGAAAACGGGAAGACACTCTTTTGCATTCTGCAGCAAGATCAGGAAATCTTGCTGTGGTCAGAGAAATCCTTACTACTACTGAGGAGGAAGAATTGAAGCAATTGTTAGCTAAACAAAACCAATCTGGAGAGACAGCCCTTTATGTAGCAGCAGAATATGGTTATGTTGATTTGGTTAGGGAGATGATAAACTACTACGATCTTGCTGATGCAGAGATAAAAGCCAGAAATGGTTTTGATGCATTTCACATTGCTGCTAAACAAGGGGATTTTGGTATGTCTTTTCCATGTTTGATCATGATAAATTCCTCTCTTTGCTTTCTTGTTCTTGTTACCTTTTAAAGGTGAATGAGATTTTAGTTTGGCCTTGTTGCAGACATGTTGCGAGTGCTACTTGATGTCCATCCTGAATTGGCTATGACTGTTGATCTATCAAATACTACAGCTTTGCACACAGCTGCAACACAAGGGCACATAGAAATCGTCAATTTTCTACTTGAGGCTGGGAGCAGCCTGGCTACAATAGCTAAGAGCAATGGGAAAACAGCACTGCATTCTGCGGCAAGAAATGGGCATGTGGAGGTTGTGAGGGCGCTCTTGACTATGGAACCTGAGATTTCACCAAGAATTGATAAGAAGGGGCAGACGGCACTTCACATGGCATCAAAGGGGCAGAATCTGGAGGTGGTGGAGGAGTTGATAAGATTGGATCCCTTATTGATTAACATGATTGACAACAAGGGAAACACCCCCTTGCATATAGCAACTCGGAAGGGCAGAGCTCAGGTAAATCCAGCCTTTATCTTCTCTTCATCCATCAGTCTACAACTTTATGCTTGTTTTGAAAATTGTTGTGTTTCTTTCTTTGGCCGAAGCATGTAGAATGGAACCCATTATTGACTTATTTCATTCTCCAAATTTTGAGCTGCAATCATTCATATCTGATTAGCCAGGAATTGCTCCACTTTTGCTGATATCATTTATTTGCTAAAAAATAAGCTTAATGGTGTTTAGTTGTTAGGAATTTTACTCGGATTGTAGCTTAATTTAGTTTCATAGATGGCCGTATCTTTAGTATTAAAACAACTCTTAGTGCAGCTGATTGAAATGGCTTTGCTGTGTCCAATCTGTGGTTAAAATGCTAATATCTGAATGATTGGCACTGTTGAAATGAGCATTTGTTCTCTGATAGAGATGGAACGGACAAAACCAGCTTGAATTATAATATTTATAGTATCAAGGTAAATGCACTGGTTATTGTTTTTGCAATGGTGGTTGACTTCTTAACAAGATCTTCAAGTGTCAGGTCACTTGCAAAATTTGGTTGCTTTAATGAACTTCAATAAATTAGAAAGGTCAAACTTGTTAAAAATTTAAATTGCTAATTGAACCGCAAACAGATCAAGAGTCATATGCTTCAACCAAATGCTGTAGGGTGAAATCTAGACATTGTAGATCCTGATACAGTTGCTTGATTTGCAATGAATTAGTTTTGAAGAATTAATCCCTTTTCCTTGGAAGCTACTTGAGGAGGTATGAAACTATTTAAGTCAAAGCTTCTTTCTTTTGGGAATATTAATAATCAAAAACTACAAGAAAGGAATGAAATGAATGGGAGAAGCTGACATTACAAAATTTCTGGCTTTGCAGATTGTTAGGTTACTTCTGTCAAACAATGAAACCGACATAATGGCTGTTAACAGAACAGGGGAAACTGCTGTGGACACTGCAGAGAAAATGGCGCATCATGAAATTGAGACAATCTTGCAGCAGCATGGAGTTCAAAGTGCTAAAATCATCAAGCCTCAAACACCAAATCCAGCTCGTGAGCTGAAACAAACTGTAAGTGACATAAAACATGAAGTGCACGATCAGCTGGAACATACCCGTCAAACAAGAAGGCGCGTACAAGGCATAGCAAAAAGACTCAACAAAATGCATACTGAAGGTCTCAACAATGCTATCAACTCGACAACTGTTGTTGCCGTCCTCATTGCCACGGTTGCATTTGCTGCCATTTTCACAGTTCCTGGCCAATATGTCGATGACCCTACTGATATTCCTCCCGGCCAATCTCTTGGAGAAGCAAATATAGCTCCTAAAACTCCTTTTATAATCTTTTTTATCTTTGATTCCATTGCTCTCTTCATTTCTCTAGCTGTTGTGGTGGTTCAAACCTCAGTGGTAGTCATAGAGAGCAAGGCAAAGAAGCAGCTGATGGCAATCATCAACAAACTAATGTGGTTGGCTTGTGTGCTTATTTCTGTTGCCTTTTTGGCATTGTCATTTATTGTTGTCGGGCAGAAGGAAATATGGCTTGCAATTGCAGTAACAATCATAGGAGCAAGTATAATGGTGATCACATTGGGCATTATGTGTTATTGGGTTATCAGGCACCGGATCGAGGCCTCGAATATGAGAAGCATACGAAGATCCTCTCAGACCAGCAAGTCACGCTCCTGGTCACAGTCACAGATACCGGATTCCGGGATCCTTAACAATGACTTCAAGAGAATGTATGCAATTTGAGGCTTTGTTTGTCATAGCTATTGAGAACATCTATTGACTGTCGGTCTAATCCGGTGACTTTCAGCAATCAAATATCGACTGTAACTTACTAGCTGTATTTAAATAGTTAATTCAAATAAAGCCTAAGAGCATGTTTAGTAAAATTTATAAGTGTTTCAGCTCTTTAGCATTATTTATGTTTTATAAATTTAAAATTTTTCTTTTAAAAACTTACATTTTGTAATTTTTTTTAATTTTAAAAAAATCTTAAACAGTAAAATTTTAAAATTTTTAAAATTTTACTTCTTATAAATTTTCTTTTTACTTATTTTTTACTCATTTTTTTATTTTTATAAACATTAAAAATAATTTTCTTTTAATAAAAATTTAAACTTATCACTCATAAATAATTCAAAAAAAAAAAGAAGATAAAAACTTCAAAAAATTTCACCAAACAAGCCCTAAGACTTGCCCATGACAGATCATCTTTTGTTTAGCAAATGGCACAGCAAAAGTCTGTCTCCCCACTCCCTAGAGAAGTCAACTTCCAATTGTATATTTCAAGTTCATCATAGTTTTCCTCTTAAGAAACTTTAGGTTAGTACAAAAAGCAAGCCTGCTGCATCAAATTGTTGCTTTCATTTACTTAGTCCGTGACAAACTAGTTATGATCTAAAAAAAAATTATGAGGAGGGATTGGATCAATTTTCAGGAGTTAAGCTCTGCAAAGAGTTTCAAATTCGAACATTCCACCTTAACTATCAAAACGGTAAATAACTTTTCAAAAAGTGTTTTTTAAATCATACTACAAATTAAATATTGATAAAAAAAATACTTTAAAAAATAATTAGAAAAAAAAGTACATTTCAATCCTAAATCTTAAAAAACACTTAGTGTCTTAACTTTAAAAGAAATCTTTTCATTTAATAAAAATTTAATTTAAAATTT